GGAAGGAAGGAAGGAAGGAAGGAAGGAAGGAAGGAAGGAAGGAAGGAAGGAAGGAAGGAAGGAAGGAAGGGTGTGTTGGGACTCTTTAGCTTGAGTGTGAAGCAGCCTGGATCAGGAGACATTGAGGTGGCTGGAGGAGAAAGGATAGGCAAGGCTTTTAGGATGGTGAGATGTGGTGGGAGATGGAAGCTGGACCATTCTCAGGGACGGTGGCCTTGATGTTTGGTCTCAGTGTCACCTTTCATCCCTCCGTGCTCCGTCCCAAGTTCAAGCTCGTTGCCCTGATGAAGTGGACAGGATCCTTGGTGCCTATGAGTTCAGCCACTTGTGTTTTAGATCTCTGTCCCTCCTGGCTGATTAAAGTATCCTAGAAGGTGACTGGGCCCAGCTCCCCCCCATGTCTAACATTTGCATGACATCACTGAAGGAGGTCATCTGTCAATTCAGGGTCCAGTATCATCAATAAGCTAATGGTACCCGTCTTTACATTTCAACTTTAGGGTGAGCAGATGTGGTGGAAGTACCGATTCTGTGCCTGGAGACTGTAAGGAACTGGAGGGGGTGAAATAGACTGAGACTGAGGTTTCACCATTACCTTTGAGGTGGGGTTGCATTTCCCCTGAAAGAGTTGGGATGCAATCTGGAGGTTCTCCTGGATTCTGCTGGATTCACAGCTGCTTCTGGAACAGGTGGAAGCCAAGGCCAAGAGAGCCTTTGGCCAGCTGTGGCAGGTCCACCAGTTGTACCTATTCCTGGTCCAGCAGGCACTGAAAATAGTGACTCATGCCTTTTTCATGTTTGACTACTGCAGTTCACTCTATGTGGGACTGCCCTTGTAGATGACTGCCTTTGGCACAAATATAGCTGCTTGCTTGCTGACTGGTGCTAGCCAGTTCAGCAGAATACCTATTGTGCGAGAGCTGCACTGGTTGTCAATAGGCTTCCTGGCCCAATTCAAGGTGCTGGTTGGCATCTACAAAACTCTATATTGCTTGGGTCCTTGTTATTTTTCATACTGTTTTTTCCAGGTAAAATCTGCCTGGAATAGCTTGCTCTTTGAGGTCAGGCTATGTCAGCGATACTAAGTAGACCAGACCAAGAAGTCAACTCCGTAGAAAAGCTAAGACTACTTTTATTGAGAGTAGCTATAACAATAGAATCTTGCAAGTCTCATTGTACTGTACCTCCTCATTCTTCTTATATTTCAATAAATGAGGGAGGTGTCTGTCTGAGCTGCTTCCAAATGTTATCTGGAAGTTCTGGATTTAACAAATGCTTCAGCCCCTTCTGCTTAGGCAATGGAGCCTCTATATCTCCGTCAAGGTCATCTTCCTTACTCTCTACAGGCTAGCCTCTACCCTAGCCTCTACCCTTTAGGAAGCAGCCAGAACGATCCTCTTCTCCAGGGCATTTGGGATATGTAAGTTTTTAATGGAAGACAGCAACAGACTTTGAAGAGTTTAATATTTTATGATGTTATGGATGTAATAAATAAGTAAATAAAAGCACTGCAATCCTATATACATTTTCCTAGGTGTAATATTGAATTCAGTGCAAATTCCTACTAATGATCATCCTTGGTTTCTACTAAACACCTATTATGGCCTGTAAGTATAGGCATCTTGTGTGTTCCTTTTAAAATATTATTTTAAATTAACTCCTATCAATGGACAGCATTATGAACTTAGGAAATCAGCTGTAATAGGGAATTTTTCTTTGTGTCAGCACTGCATTTTTCACTCCCACTTTGTTGCTTTTCAAAGATTTTGTGAAAACAAGCCCAAATGTATCTTATGAGAAATGCTATGTTCGAATGGTTTTCTTGTTCCCAAGATTACAGTGCCTTGTCTATAAACTAGTAGCACAAGCCAAGGAGACTCCCACACAGTTGCTTCACAAGCTGTAATTCTGTAGTCATATGTGCAGGGACCACTCTTGGGGGAGGGTATGAAGCTGAATGTATAGTGTGCCTCAAGGCAAATTAAGCCATTAGGAAACAACTGCCATGCATTTTTACAAAATGACTCCTATCTTCAAATAGTCTGGCTACATCTAAAGATACTAAATTTACTTGCCTAGACTTTTTTCCCCCTCTATACACACACATACACACAAATATATCACACATATGGTATGTTCTATTCTTAAATAAATGTTCCGGGTTACCTTTCCTTAAAAAAAAGGCCCTCTAAGAAATTAAAGGTCTGTGAACCATGACAATCCAATTTAAACCCACAGTTATTGTTCAATTCATTAACAGGATTACATACAGATCCCTGGTGACACAGGATTCCAACAGTGATTTTCTGAGCCAATGGAAGCAATGGAACTGAGAATCTGTGGCTGGGTGGTGTTCAACAAAACTCTCTAAAGTTAGGATGATGCCTAGAGAGAACACAGTAAGTACTAGTGAGCTGGCAATTTATCTCTGTATGACAGGATGGAATTTGGGTGAGGTCCCAGCCTGGGGTCAAAACTCAGCATTTTGGAGCAAATTATGGGACTATCTGCGCTTGACGGTGGCTTCTTTTTTATGTATATTTTACTTTTCCAATGCCATAAAGGACTTAATTTGCCTTGAGGGTCTCTCTCTCTTTCTACACACAGACACAGACACACACACTTCAATACCCTCCCCCAAGGGTGGTCCCTGCATACATGATTACAGAGTTACAGCTTCCCAGAGTGAGAACGTCCTTGGCTTGCTTTATTACTTTATATACAAAGCACTACAATCTTGGGAACTAAAAAGGCATTCAAACATAGCATTTCTCATAACATACATTTGGGCTTGAATGGGGGAGTGAAAAATAAAAGTAAGTGTTGGGCCATGCTACCGTGGTTGCTGATACCCAGCCCTCTATCACAAAATCCATGTCTAACTCTAAGCTGTTCTTTATCAACCTGCTTAATGCAGATTATGGTGAAGAGCAGAGACCTTGTTGAACATGTGTTTTTCCTTGGTTTGTTTCTGTCAGAGAATCCTGGGAAATGTAACTGGTATGGGTGCAAGAAAATATTCATTAACTAATTCACAGTGTCTTCGAACTGTGGCCTTTTCCTACTTACATGGTAGTTTTATGGAACTTGGGAATAAAAAACACCACCTGCTTGCTATAAAGGAAGGAACAAAGATGCTATACAATAAGGATGAAAATATATCTTCAGATGCAATTATTTTAGAGATATAATTTTCAGTAACTTGTTAAACTTGTTAGTAACCAAGTTAAGAGTCTGAGGTATAAAAAAAATGATACATATTAGTGTAAGTTGGATTTTCTAAATAACTTATATATAGCATGAATGTAAATTAATGCTGAATCTATATGTAATAAGATAGCCTAAATCCCACCTGGTACCCCCTGGATGTGTTGGAACTACAACTTTTATAATCCAACAATCGTGCTGGGAAAGGCTATAAAAAGTTACATAACCATTAGAGCAAAAAATATTGATTCCATGGGAGAAACTAGGAATTATTATTCCAATTCATAGAGTGTGTGGAAATAATAACTGAGTGTATAGCTAAGCTGTCCATGTGTGTATCAGAGATAATTTCTATTTTTGCCACTAAATGTATAAACTTAAAAACAACATTATTTTAAAAATTAAATGTGTTTTTTGGGAATGGAAAACTGTGTCTCCAGCAACTGGTTCAACTTACCTATTTCAAGAAAAAATAGAAGAAAACAAATTACTTAAAAAGGGAAGAAAAAGCACAAGAGATCAGGGGTAAACATAGCTCAATTAGTTCAAAAACCAGTTTTTAAGTAAAATAAGCGTAAATAATCAAGCATGACTAGCAATTGTTGCACAATGAAATCAGGTACATGGTATGAAATATATTAAGTTTTTAAAACAGCAATAATGTTAAGTAATGTTATTACTTGTTCAGCCAACATAAGTAACTCCTAGGACAAAGAGCTCCTCCATGTGCTCTGTGGGAAAATTACAAAAACACATGTTCCATTAATTTGGCATCTTCTGTATCATCTATGGGAATTTCAACCACTCCTTCCAGGGTACCAAGAATAGAGATGATAAATCTGAATAAATGTTCTTTTCTGCCATGGAGGCATATTTCAGCTATCTCCTTCCATCCTTCCACATTGCAGGTATCTTTTACAATCATTTGTTCCAATTTATCTATAAATATGTTTGACAAAGAAAACAGACAAAGAAAATTTTGCTGCATTTCTTTCTTGTATGAATCACTACTATAACTCTGTTAAAAAACGATGCATATATTTTTTGGCATAATTCTAAATTAACGCAAGAATTCAACAGGCATTATTGTCAAGAATGTGTCTAAAGTAGATACATTTTAATTTGAGGGGAAGCAAGTCTCACTTTGGAATTGTGATTGCAGCACAAGGACAATGCAACCTTTTCCTCTCTTAATTTTCTAATTAAAATCTCTCCCCTACATTTTACCTAGTGAGATAATTGCAAACAAATGTATTTACATTCTGTAGAGGTCATATGGAATGACCTTGAAGGACAGGAAGAAGAGCCGGTACCATGGCAATGGTCAGATAAGTGGGGCTTGCGTCTGGGCTAAGAAAATAACTTGAGAAAATATCTCAGACAAGCCCCTCCCTAGTTCACATGAAGCTAAAGTGAGGGAGGGGGGAAACACATTCAGACTTGCAAGGTTCTGTTACCATAGCTGTTACAATAAAAGTAGTTTCTTAGCCTGGTCTACCTTGTAGGGCTACCACATTCCCACTGGAAAAAGTCAGGCTATACTCACTCTTGTCCTTTTTGACAATATCCTCCAACAACTGTATGCAGTGGATTCGATGTTCTGTTCTGATGAGCAAGAGGATGGTTTCCCCAAGGGACATGACTGGTGGTTTCCCATTCCATTCATCTGTAAGGCAACGGATGAAATCTATACGAGGACAGTGGCTCAGTAGAAAGGTATAATCGTCTGAAATCAAACAGCAGAGGTGTTAGAAAGCCTGAAAAGCAAAAATATCCATAGATATTTACATTTGCAGCTTGAAAAGCATGTCTCTTTCATTTTTAATTTCCAGCATAAAGTGAGCAGAAATGTGCTACCTTTGAAAACTCAGTATGGAATTCCTGCATTTTCAGGCATCTGCCCTAAGAGCTCTTTTTCATTTAATCCTTGCTTTAAATGAATAACAAAAGAACAATGAAATAAACAGCATTTCCTACCTCACAATCATGGGCCTCTGTAGTGTGTGTTTGTGAACAGCATCACAATGGCAGGCACGATTAGGTGATAAAAGTTCCACTACTTTTTATTGTGCATCGCATGCATGTAAAAATGGGCAGAGGTTCGATAGCTCCAGTTGGGGTTGACCATACCACGGACATCCCTGCTCTCAGCATTGATTTAGGAATGACTGAGAAATACAATTCTTTGTTCAGCACACAACTAATTGACTGAATTAACTAACACCTGGAGGATAGGTTCACTAGCAGTGTTAGCCATTAGGGGAACTGCAATAAAATGTTTCAGAGAGTCATCCAACAAAAATGTACCAAAATAAATGCACCGAGGACAGTCTTTTTATCATTTTAGGGATGGCTGGGTGATGCTGTAAGCATGCTAAAATTCACTATTGAGGAAACTGCCATATCTTAAAACCACAGTTGCCATTTCATACCTGCTCAACTTACTGAATGTAACCCAGAGTGCTTCCCAGTGCATTTATTCATGCACAGATACATATGCAACACAAGAGGAGACTAGAAATACACCCACACACACATGCACACAGAGGCAAAACATTTGCATCCTGATTAGATTCATTCACTCCGTCCCTTTCTCACAGACACGTATGCAAACGTGTACCTACATCCCGATAGTCCTCGGAGAAGAAGTGCGCACACCTTGCACAGAAGAGAATGCAGATGCTTCCTATAGCTTCTGCTGGTAAAGGAGCTAGAAGAATTCTAATAACCATGCCCTGCAAGCTTTTCCCACCTTACTTTATAATTATACTTTTGCAAACCTCCCAGTTCATAAAATCATGCATTTGGAAGGAACAGTTCAAGCCTTGGTCAATACAGGATCTGCTAAAGCATTCTGGACAGATGACTATCCAGTTTTTGAGGGGGAACATACCATTTCAGAAGACAACTTATTCCTTTATTTGATGACTCTTACATCAAATAGTTTAGCCTGGATCTACGTCTCTATAGTTTCAAGCACTGGTTCTGGTCCTGTCCTCTGGAGAAACTCGGAACAAGTCCCATTCTTTCCTCTATATTACAACCTTTAGATAACTGACAATTGCTATTTTATCTCCTCTTGGTCTTCTGTTCTGCAGGCTAAACATACCCAGTTCCTTATAGGACTTGGTTTCCAATCCCCTCACCATTTTGGTATCTCTCCTCTGAATTCATTCCAGGCATGGGTTTTCCTTTTCGACTGCAGCGCTCAGAACTGGACACATTATTCTAAGTAGGGTTTGACAATGGCAGAGTAGAGCAGGGCAATCACTTCCCATGATCTGGACTGTATGATATTGCTAAAATATCTTAAAGTAGCATCTGTCATTTTAGCAGCTGCATTGCACTATTGGTCCAGGTTCAGCTTGTGATCTAATAGAACATCCATATTCTTTTCACAAGGTCGCTCCATTCTTTACTTGTGCATTTTGTTTTTTTCCCCCCAGATGCAGGACTTTATATTTATTCCTATTAAATTTCATCCTGTTTGTTCTGGCTCGCTGTTTGAGCCTCTTTCTAAATCTTTCTGAATTTCTTCTTCTCACGTTTTAGCCATTCTTTCTAGTTTTGTGTCATCTGCAAATCTGAAAATTATTCGTTCAGCCCCTTCATCCAAGTTATTAATAAAAATATTGAACAGCGTAGGGCCCAGGACAGAATTTTATGGCACTCAATTTAATATTACTCTCCAGGTTGAGGAAAGCCATTTATGAGAATAGTGGTACCTCAGTTCACGAACTTAATTCGTTCTGCGACTCTGGTCACAACCCGAATTGGTCGCGACCCGAATCAAATTTTCCCATAAGGTTCAATGTAAATACAGTTAATCCGTTCTGACCCCTCTGAATTTGGTCGCCAACAGATTTTGGTTGCGATCCGAATCAAATTTTCCCATAAGGTTCAATGTAAATACAGTTAATCCGTTCTGACCCCTCTGAATTTGGTCGCCAACAGATTTTGGTTGCGATCCGAATCAAATTTTCCCATAAGGTTCAATGTAAATACAGTTAATCCGTTCTGACCCCTCTGAATTTGGTCGCCAACAGATTTTGGTTGCGATCCGAATCAAATTTTCCCATAAGGTTCAATGTAATTACGGTTAATCCGTTCTGAACCATATGTTTTTGTTTTTTTAAACCACAAAAATATGACACAAAGTACAGTATGAAGAAAGAGAACGCTAACCTTGCTCGACGTGACTTCTGGCGTGGAGGACAGGAAGGCGGGTGGGGAAGCGGTTATTGTTTGGAGGGAGAGTCCCCCACCCTACAGGAAGCCACGACCATGTGTCACGGCAGGGAAAA